AAGTTTACCTTTATGTACAGAATCTGAATATCGCAAAATATTTTAAAAAATTGCAATAATATCGTATCGTGGGATGTATGGTGATTCCCACCTCTAATAGTTACACCAACAAATCTGTTTTTTAAAACTGCAGCCAATTCAGGAAGTGAACTTTTGTCAGACAATAGATTTACGCCTTCATCCTGACGGTAACACATACCACGCAAGTGTAACCTCCCTGATTCTGCAGCTAACCTTCTGCATGTCAGTTTTGCCTCCCATCACTTCCTGTCGGTCTCGATACTTTTAGCAACAGTCTGTAAAGTGTGAAGTGACTCAGTAGGTCAGGTCGTCTACATCACACTCGTACGGTTAAACTGCAGCTTTTTTTATTTAAAACAAAACAGAAGCAGTGTTTCTGTTACGGTAATTCACTACGTGATTTGGCCATTTGTACTTTACAATGTCCACATGTTACTGTTTCCATGACTTTCAATTTGCCACAAGACCCACTTTGACCGAACAGTATAGCACGCATGTCTGACATGTCTGTGCAGAGCTGAGAGGATGAGTGCTGCTTCCACTGGGCTTCAGAGGGTTGGACATGATAAGAATCGCCACAGTGGAATTCCCACCCAAACTCAATAAGATTAGAGCTGAGGGCTTGTAGAAGTTAGCCACCAGTGTGAGCATCATGTGACTGTGGATTTTACTCTAAAACAAGTTGTTCTACTGAATGAAAGGCTCAGGAGAATGTTTCTTACATAACAACCAAACTAAGGCAGCACTGACTGATGCCACCTAACGCTTACTGTCAACTTGCACCTGTGCCAGTACACACAATACTACAGCTTACTGGTAAACCACCTTTCCCATCAAAATATCCACTGCACAAAAACTAGCTGTTAAAAAAAACAGTTAAAAATACAAATAAACTGAATATAAAAACTACAATCTAAGAAAAAAGAAAAAAAATGGAAACAATGTTGCGCTTTAATTTAAAAAAAAGATACAAAAACTGGATGAACAAAATGAAAATTTAAAACATGCAAAACTATAAACGCCCTGCTACTAGCTCACTCACTCATCTCTGCATCATTTCTGCAACACTGTCCACATTTGTCCAAAGAAAGTTTCATTTGCTCCAGTGAACTGGATCGTGACGACTGCTCAAAGCCTCACGCAGACACACCAAATAAATTAAATAAAATATGTGGGCCAGAGTTGCTGTAATGTGGCACAGCCACTCCTCTGAGGAGACGTGACTGAAGCCAACCTGCTGCTGCCTATAAAAACCGCGACTTTGAGAGAGGCCCGGAGGACTGTCAGCGGCAGGATTCATGCTGACAGAGGGGAAATCGTGCCAGTTCACCGTACTGTCAGGCAAAACATTACACCAACACAAAACAACACAAGCAGTGACAAAGTCCCAGCTCAATATTTAACACACGAAACCCACAAATATGAAAAGGGAAGGGATAGTCGGGGCAACAAAGACTCCATCTGGATGGCTTTCTCAAACATCATAGTCACATGTCTCAAATATAACCTGACTTTTAATTTACTAATAATGTAAAGAAGTTAACTGAAGATCTACAAATGTACAAAGTTGGTGTCAGTTGTGGATATACGACTGATTTCTGTGCTTTTCTTCATGTCATGTGACCGTTAATGAGCCTGCCAGCTGGATAAAACACGACATCAGTTTGAAGATTTGTTTCAGGCATTTTTACTATCAGAATTTAAAACCAATCTGATCACCTACAAATGCAGATTAAGACAAAAATAAAGCTATACTCTACAGTAATAAACTGCACTGCAGCACAGCCATGGGCAGATTAAAGGTCTACATGCAAACATGTGACGGGCTTATAAAATGAGAAAGCAAAGTGCCACATCCACAGGATCTCTCCTTTATGACACATTTTACAGCAGCACATGCAGAGTGTAACGCCTTTGGTTTTTACATCGGACTTTTAGCAGAGCCTTGACTCTGGATTATATTTAAGGCTTTTCTTTTACCCATCAAGTCATCTCTGCTTTAAGTTTGTTTAGCCACAAACTAACTGGTGCCTTTCAGTAAGTCCCTTTGTTGCTTCCTTTTTTGTTGAGTCAGTTTCCTGGTTTTGTATTCAGTAATTTTGTCTCGCCTGCAGCGGTGT